CACCAAATTTATCACGCACTCTATGATACATACACTGAAAATAAACTTCAGCAACTTGCACATCAGAAATGACAACATCGTTACCGAGCACATTGATTGGGACACAGCAACTAAAGTGGCTTTTGAACGAGACCTAAACGTTTTTTAACTGCACCACCTAAATAAAAATGAGCTTCAAAATGGAATAAAATTTTGATTTTGCTTAGGCATGAAGAGCTTATTGTCACACTTGCAATACCTAGATAATACTCTAATGGCATACTCAATCCTGGTTGAGTGGGAACGTGCACTGGTTTATAATGTAAACAATTTCCACACTTGGATCTACAGGTGGGTGGCGATGATCCTGGGCCATTGAGTTGATGCCGAGTCAGAACTTGCTCCACCACTTCCTCTTCGATCTTCCTCACTTCAAAACCTACACACATACAAATAGAAAAGAACAAAAAATTGTTAGTAACACAGTAACAAATTTAGATGCATATCTCAATTTCAAAAAACCAATGCTTCAAGGGGTTCTTAGTTTGCTTTAATAAATAACAATTATGAGAGGAGCATAATATCATAGTAGGAACCATAGAGGTTAAAGAACCACATCAACAATTTTAGCAATTAGATATTTCTCATGCGAGCGAACAATTTCTACCTGCGTTTTTTCCGGGCTTCAATGAAGTTGCTATACACTCTCAGCATGTCCCAATCAACAACTCTCTAAGCACGTCAATATATATCATAATAGTGTGTGATGAATAAGAAACAAAGCCAAAGTTAGGTGGTAAAGAACGAAATACCTAAAAATATGGGAGAGAGATGCAAGTCAAAGAAAAAACAAGAAATGAGAAAATTTGACTACCTTTGCTAGAGTAGGGGTAAACAAGAATAGAGATCAGTAGAGCATATATGTGACCATTTATTTTAACGGCAAATGGCAAGTTATAGCAGTCATATCACTCAATAACTACATAATTGACTAACTCAAATGTTTCTAGCAGTCACTTTCAAGCCTGATACGTACATGAATGATAAATGAATCCTGAGTAAAAGGGAAGGACTTCATCCACAACTTAATATGAGAAGTGTTGGCTGAAGTGCATTCCACAAATTTGTCATTTCATTCGTGCTAATTCAATGAGAAGGAAGCTTTGGAGCTCTTCTTGTAACTCCATTTGTTAGCAGCATGCACGTTAAAAATAGGGATGGCAACGGGGCGGGTATGGGACGGGTTGGCCATTCCCACCCCATCCCGTCGGGTTTTTTTGTTACCTACCCCATCCTCATACTCGGTTAAAGCAGGACGGGACGGGGCGGGGCAAGTCTTCTGCCCCATTTATCACCCCGTTTATTTTTTCTTTTTATTCTTTATTTATTTTATTTTTTATTTTTAACTTTTTTATGTCTTTAGTTA